TCACAGTTTAGTCTCCCGTTACTTTACGTAAAGCTTTTGTGTGTTCTTTCGATGTGGCACGTTTTTTGTATATCAAATAGGAGAATAAACAGTCAATGAAATCAGTCGGTTTCGTCTTGTATCAGTTCTCGTTCCCAGAAGACGTAAACTGAAGTTACCTGAGTTGGTCAAACAACTGCTCTTGTTCAGGAGTGCTCAATTTTTATGGGCAGAATTCCTAGTGATAGTATTTCAAGTTGTAGCAGATTTAGGTTAACATACGAAAGTTTCTTCCACATGATTTCTCAAGTCTGACGAAAAGTCATTCCTGGGTTCAGCCTTCCTTAGGGTTTTTAAAAATTTTTCGTGTCATCGCACAAGTGTGCAGTTTACTATAATATTTAATCTAGCCAAAAACTAATCGGCTACCGAGAAGTGGCACAAAATGGCCCTGTGTTTCAATCAGGGCTTCCAACTTTGGTTGGTGATGCTCAGGAACCATCGTCACTAAAATAGTTTGAATATTTGTAAAACTGTGGCTATTTAATTTTGAATCTAACTATCTCGTAAGCGTCCATTGGTTTTGTCTTTTGGTCAGCTTATATCAGGGATTCTGCTGAATATTTCCACTTTTGAGCGTGTTTTGATTGTCACTCTGGTCGCTCAGTGGCCCAAATAAAGTCCGTCAGTGCCATTTTCGTTTTCTTTCTTGTTTTGGGCTCATTTGTCAAAACAGCATCATTTGAATCTGCATCCGTGTCAGCTACATTAAATAAGGATAGTATCGCGCTCCTAAATTGTTATCGATCAAAGATGAGACACCGCGGTCTCTTTAACATGAAGGCCCCTTGTTTAGAAGATAGGCTGGTTAGCTCAGGCAGTGTAGTCAAATTCTGCATTCTTCTCCCAACTCGGGATTTTTCACAGTTTTTTTAATTCTGAAGCTAGCTATACGTTTGGCCTGGTAATATGTATGGCGTATTGTGCGTATAAAATACTCCGTTTTCCGCTATATTCCACTAGTCCTCCAGTTTGTGGATTTACACAGGCTATTTAAAATCATATCTAATTTGAGACCCACCCAGAGACATGAAAAACCGCTCTTATTAGCGTGAAAGATTTAGACAAACCTAAAATGCGAATCAAGATACTCAACAGCTGAAGGCCCACTAACTTAGTCGATATTTTGAATACGTCTATGAAGGTGTTCTCTCGTAAATGCTTTAACGAATAAGTGAGGAAAAAATTTATATTTGTGGGGTTTTTGCCTTACAGTGAAAGTCCACAAGTGGTCACTGATAAGTGTATTCAGACGATCAATTGCAAAAAGCATAAACCGAGACGTCTGGAGCTTGAAATTTGCCTTCAATAGAAAACTATTTTTAGAACATCAGAAAAAAAGCACTGAAACTTGCTGTTTTCGTTAAACGCTGATCGATCAAATGAGACCGATTCCTCACCATGACAACGTTCGACTCAGTGTCTTGTATGTGACCATGCATAAATTGAGCGGCCTTCTTTACAAAAAGCAGATTTCTGAACAATAAAACTTTCATCCGGCGATCTTTTTCATAATTTGTTTTTGTATTTCGGCTTACTGCTAGAATAAATCTTGTGTGCTGCAGGACATCTCAAGCCACAGCTATCGACGATAACTTAGTCATGTTGTTCACCCGAATTGGCGAAGGAGGGCTCACCATGCTCCACTGCGTTGATACGGTATGGAGTGTTTGTTGAATTCTACTCATCGAGCCCCGGAAATATGGATTCACGTTTCATCGTTTTCGTCACACGCTTCCGGATGATGAACTGTCTCGACAACAATTAAGGACCCTTCCGGGAAAGGCCTCTCTCTGGTAGGATAAAACGCTAAATGTTAACTGCTGGGCTTCTACTCTACCTACTTAGAACAACTTTGTATTATTACATCTTCTCAGTACCCAATGGCTCATGAGATTTTCATGTATTCGGTCAGATCTGTTCCAAACAAAGTATTTTAAGAGAGGCTAGAATTCATCCAAGTAATGCCATTCATCTCTAGTTACAGGATAAGTAGAGACCTACTTCTTGTCCTTTAGGACTGCTCCTAACACTCCCCACTGTAAAAAGAGCTTCAGAAAAAGTATGTTTGCATGTTTACGTTTCTGCTATTGGGAATTACATCACCAGGTTTTGTTTAGACTAACTGCACTTATTCACAAGCTCCTTAGATTCACACACTTTTGAAAACGCTTTTAGTTTACAGTAATGGGCTGGCTTGGGCAACGTGGCAACATCCCAGCCCTTCCTTCGGATGGCGTAGCAGCTAGGCACCGGAAGGGTGTTACAGCTGAACGATCAACTCACCAAGAATGCATTTATTTTCAAAGGAAGGATAAATTAAGACGGATGGACATTACCCAGAGGCGTCGAATATTTGTGACGGAAATATACTGGTGGCTCTAGCAATCGCTCAGCTGGCCGTTGATCTTTTCACCGAGCTTGGCAACTACCTTGCACCGATGGCGTCTTCTCGATTGGTGACAAAACATTTGCAAGCCAACTGCGTAGCTCGGAAAAGGGACCAACAGCTAACTGATCAACTACCACATTGGTATCGCTCTACAAAAAATAAAACGCAAATACGATTTGAAATAGAACTGTATCGTTCTCCCAACAAGAGTTGAGTTTTGTATAGAACAAATCTTTTTTATTCAAAGAGACGATATTTATCTTTCATTTTGAATTCTACACCTCGAATAGTCGCACTCTACGACGAACTTACAGAATCTTCCATTTTTTTTACCTTTACTGTAATGTGAGTTTATTTGGCTGGTTTCCGGTTGACAAGGGACATATTTCAGCCAGTAGGTTCCACGACCGAAATCTAAGTGAGTGTGCATAGAATATTAGAAATTATAAGACTCAGCGCAACAAGATTATTAGAGCACTGCCCCCTGCTCATCCACAGAGGTTCGGGTGATATTGGCCTGTCATTGTGCTTGAATACCCTTGTAAGATGCCTCGGTATACTTTTGACGGGTGTGTGGATCACGATATGATCGAGCAGTCTCAGTTTTTGTATCACTGAATTCACTGAATCCATTTTCTGGATCTCAGACTTTCACGTCTTTATACAATTGTCTTGTTAGGCCACACTACGGGGTATTCGTTGCGCTAAAAGTTTGCCGAACTTGAATTTGATTATGCATTAAGTGCAAACCACTGAGTTACTGTACTCAACTATCCATTCAGATACTACTTAAATACGTAGATATATTCTGTTATTGGCATAGCTTAAAAGAGAAGCCGATCAGAGAGGAAGCCGCAATGTCAACAGCTCCAAGATGACACTTCTTTTTGAATCAACTGGTAAAAATTCGTCATGGTTTAAAGATTAATAACTGCACTTTCCATCCATTAACAAAGTAGCCACGCAGTAAGATGTGCTCAAACGTGTTGCTGGTCACTTCTTTTTTAATACAGCCCACTAGTGACTGCATCTTGACTACAGCTACTCCACGGCAAAACCTGATTGTTGTTCGAAGAAATTTGTTGATGTGAGCTGCTTTATTTTCCTCGATTACGCAGCTTCCAAGACACTAGGCTAAAAACTTATCATCCGAACCGTCATTCTGTTAAAATAAAATAGAAGTCGCCTAGTTTATTACATATTAACCGTTCCATGAATCATTTATTAAGCAATCAACTCGTAAATAGAAAAGCTACTTTAAATCTGCATTGCTCTTCTCGGAGAATGAGAAGAAGTGCTTTCGGTGCCCCAATAGTTCATACTTGAGATAAGAGAAAACATACGAAAATAGGATCAGATATCTGTAACCAATATCTATAACTAGTATACAAAGATACCTTTGTATGGGTCCATACCTGACAGGTTTTTGTTGCTTACTTGAACGTCAAAAAGCTTCTGTGTAATAAAATGATTTTTGAAGTATAACTTCTCTTTCACGTCAATGCTTCTTTCTGAGGGAATGCGTTCGTCATTTAAACAAGCTCAGTGGTGTTTCGCCTCAAGTACTTTTATTGATAATATTATCTATCCTAGAAGACGATACTTTTATCTAGCTGGCCTCTCCTATCTGGCTGGATGTCGTTCCTCTCAAAAATCCAAGTGTGACCATACTAAACCTGCAGTGGAGAACTACAGACTGAATGTGTTACTCACTGATTATGTTCGTTCCGCGATATCGCAATCACAATGCAGGGTAGTACTTTGGTAAATATCAGTGATTTCTTTTAATCCAATTTCCTAACTTTTGCTTACTAACTTACTCAGTTTTTGAATGATTTCATCTCATGCGTACCACGCCGTTTGGAGGCAAGTTTTAGACCCAGTTCTGTTCCAGTCACCGAGTTGCTTGCTTTACATCGGTCCCTGTAGAAAACGTGTACTTACCTTGTTTTGTCTTTATGTAAAGTCGACGTAGGCTCAAGTAAGTCAAACCTTTTTCACATCAGTCAGCCTGAGTGATAGGATAAACTGTTTCATTGGCTCATGGAGCACTAATGACGTGTTTTGCATTGAAAGTTACATTTCCGCCATTATCTGTTTATCCACTTGGTTGTGACAGAACATTTGCTGATGGTGGATATGGCCTACTGTTATTATTGACAATGCCTGTACATAAAAAAAACACAACGGACACTTTTAACTAGCGAAGTACAAGCTGAGTATGTACACAATTAGTGCAATAACAAATAATCTAACTCAGTACTTTTCCACTCAGACCTGTGTGCGTAATGAGCTGAAGTCCAAAGCCTATATAATCAAATTGTGTACCATAGTTAACTGTAGAATTGTGTGAAATATACCATGAACATTTCCGGAAATCAGTAACCCTATTGGATGTTCTGCAAAGACATTCTGACGTGCCAAACGATCCCCCGAAGTCACGTGGATAGACTGCCTTAGTAAACGATTCTATTGGCAGGGCAAAACGGCCAATCAGGTTCCAGGAAGTTTAGCTGGTTAGCATGGAAACTTAGCCTAAAGACTGACAAAGTCAAACACGTGCCAAGAGGTGGAGTTTACGGATGTTCAGCATGTATTCAGGGAGTAGCTTCCAACTAATTAATCTGTGTGATTGACACAAACATCTTGCCGACAACTTGTTTATAAATAGGAATATTTCACTATTTCCACGTCCATAAACTTATCTGGAATTAATCATGGCGAGTTCACCCCAACAACCGCAAAGGTGGAAGCGTCTGGGCAGTATCAATTCGTTGGATGGCCTAGCTCGTAGTACCATATCTCTGGAGGTGCCGGAGGCAAGGAGCTGTCGTGAGGCACGTGAACAAAGCAGAAAGGAAATGCACGTATTGAACGAGAAGCTGGCATCACAGTTGGAAAAAGTGAGTACAAATAGTCCTTCAAAGCATTTCAACGACTGTCTGCGTCCCTACAACCAGGTTTATAAATATAAAAATGGTGATATTTTAAAGATGTTTTCCATTGTAGTTCATGATATTCATTGCAGAACAGCTCTCAGACTCGTGCTGGCAGCGAAGGTCGAAAGGCTGTCTTGTCTACTTGCTGTCATAAGCCTTATCAAGCATTCTTAAAAGTGGACTGTGGAAAAAATAAATCCAAGATGTTTTATTAGGCATCAGAGGAAGAACACAGGGACGAGAATAGATAAGCCACAGTTGATTCTGTCAAAGCAAATCAATAAACGCCTGTGCAGCTCATTAATTTGCACTGATTTCGAGCTCCAAGTGACGCTGGCGGTCCATAGATTGTTGCTGGTTGGGTGAATGCGGTGGCAACATCATATGGAGACAGCAGTGGCAGCACCGTGCTCTGTATCATTCATCCTAACACTACCAGATGGTAGGATGACTGACCATCACCAATTTCGCTGAAACGCACAGCCGCATTTCAAACAGGGTGTTCTTGGCACCNCACCTTCCGTGCATTTTTCTACACTTCTGGATGTCCTATTTATATCTACTGCGGACAAAGAAACCATTTCAAGACTCGCTGTAAAACATTTTCGTAACGGAACCACTCACAGGTTGCTGAAAACTCTTTGAAAGTATACAAATGGTTTTGCCTTTCTTCGGGTGCAATCCCTGAGTTTCCGTCAATATTATGTCATACTCAGATAGCACCAAATTAGTAAGATATACTCATTTGCAAAGTAGTAGTGTGCGGTTTCTCGAATATGGTGCCTACTGAAACATAACGCGGCCGTTGTGCAACAAATTTATTTGAAAAACTGTCATAAGGAGTTCCACTTAATCTCTTTATAAAATCAAATGGTCTTGCAAATGAGTATTTTAGTTTGATTGCAGGTACACCATAATGCCAAAGTGTAAGTGAAGTCTAGTTGCAGAATACTTTCAGAGAACCCACTAAGCTAGCGCGCGATCATACAGCTTGTAGTAGAGTTTAAGATCGAATGCACCACTCGAAGTCTATTTGCCTTGTTCGAGTTTAGGCGAACTCAGGCACACAAGATCTATAAGTATACCTTGAAGAGACAACTCAGCATTCTTTAGTCTAAGGTGAACGAGCATGTCGTTTCTCTTGACACGATTACCGAAGAACATAGGTGCCGACTTTCTGTCCATATTAGTGAGCTTTCATTAAGCTGGTAGTCGCCAAAACTATGGAGTGTTCTTATAGTCGACTGAACAAATCATAGCAACCACATTTGAGCACGTAGCCCGGGATATATATATTGTGTTTTCGTGGATTGAGTAAGTCCCAACGGTCAAGCTCATTACACAATACCAGAATAGTACGCTGGGGGTAATCCATAGAACGGAACTGGCCTTACGAAACTTCTGGCTAGCCATGGCTCTAACAGAAGTCAGCTGTTATTCCAAACTGCACTGGACTCAAACTGGTTTGTGGAAAATCTTCTATGGTTGGAATTGCAGTACACTATCTGCCAGGTATATTCCACCCTTATTTTGGGGCTTTTAGTTTCATCCAACAACCCGAGGGTATGTATCATGGGACCGAAAAGTTGGATGATCTGACCTCTTGAATGATCTTTATTCAGGACGCTGTCCCGTTACAATCCCTCAACACAGATTGGTCCAGTATCTCAGGTTTCTACTCACCGTAATACTGCTTCCTCAGACTCGGAGACGTGACCCTCATTGTCATTAGGAGAACACATATTGAGATCTTTATGGCGTGTGACCAGTCTGCGTCTGTCCTTGTGGAGTCAATATTTAACAATGAAAATTTGGACAGAGATAAAAAGCAAACATGCTTCTATCGAAAAATGTGGGGGAGTCCAGAAACATCACAAAAGTTCCTCATCAGACCCAAAGAACAGACAAAACACTGTCCAAAATATGGCATGTCGAATTAGATAGAGTAATGACTTGGCGTTTGGTCACCATTACAGTTCTGAGAATTATACTCACAATTAAGTAGGCAATACGTAATATATTTGTGTACACAACCCAGTCTTCTCATATAATTGGCAACTTGAAAGTAAACCACCTGAAAGACTACTAGTGGACTGTCTGGACGCGAACTTTTAACCTCGTTTTGCTAGTTGGTTTTTGCAGCAGTAATTTGCCTGCATATAATCATTTCAAAACAACTCGTTTGCAAAAGGTCCAATATCGCAAAGCAAATGCGGATTCTAAAGAGGCAATCAGATTACAGAGAATCTTAGGAGTGCCATAAGCCTTCAGACAAAGAAATGGAAAATAGCCCAATAGTGGTGTACAACCATTAGATGTTGCTAAGTTTTACAACTGTTTGCTTTCAGGCAACAGAATGCGGGCAGGACAGGCACTCTTACAGTGCCAATCGGAGGAGCACCGGAGGAACTGTGTTGATACAAGCGGCAGAAAAAACCATGCCATTACAACAATATGTTTTAAAGGCGCGTTTATCACGGCGCGATTTGCTTCCCTGCGAACAACGCGGCTACCATTGACTCCAAAGAGATGAGTATCCAAGGTCACCCGAGTTAATACATACTTTCGCCTTTGATTTAGTAGAATGACGAGCTCTAGTTTATATAAGTGTCTTGACTTTCAACGACGTCATACGAGAGCGAAAGTCAATAAGAACTCTTCTGAATCTTGGCTAAGAATGACAAAAACTTATTGAAAGAAGCCTGTCGTCTGAAAACCCAGAGATTAAAAGTTGGAGTACAGGCTCATAAAAGCCGTAGTTGTGACTAAATCAGAACTGAAGCTGACCAACTCCAGTAAAGCGTTGAACTCGGTAAGATGCTTTAAACACAAAAGTACACTAAACATTCAGACATTTCACTAAAAACAGCGTTTATAATGCAGGTCAGATGTGCAGTACTTCAAAATTAAAAAAGAATGTGGAATTCAGGCGAAAGTTGCTGCATTGCTTGCACAAGTTAATAGGCTTTTGGCGCCGGCATCACGTTAGAAATGCAGGGAGAACGGAGCCTTGCTGGTTTGTTTTTTTATTATATCAATATCTGCCGGACTGGACGGGAGCAGAATGATTGATCGACCTTATCTACTCAAAGTTTTACTTTACTCATGTTATTCCAAAGTGACCGAATCCACTAGGGTTGGTCGCAAAGTAAGGGGCGCACGATTCTGATGAACTTCTATAAGAAGCTACAGAGGTTGTTTTAACTTGACTCTCTTTTGAACAGTCTTACCCTGATACTGGAGCAGTTATTCTGGTCTATATCAAAGAAAGAAAGTACTGAACTCGAGTTTCATACTCATTAGAGGTCAGCAGCAGCAACATCATGTACTTGGCCGCGCAGGGATTGGAGCTCCGGACGTCCGACGTGTGAGGCGAGCGTGTTAACACTACTTCACCAGCGCACATTGGACTAGGTCGAATTCTCACATCTGAGCAAGCAAGCATGTAGACGCCTGAGCAATGTGATTGGTTTGCCGGATGTCTCGAACGATGGCCCAGTACTTGTCCTGGTTGTGACAGTTGATTTCCCCGGGCTGTCAGAGCTCCCAGTCAGATACCATCATGAATGCTTTTAACTTGCATGAGCCAGTACCAATAGTAAGCAAGGCATGGAGAACATAGAGAACGATTGTTTGGATTTATCATCATTATCATCATCATCAACAGCATGACAGAAGTGCTCAAAACTGATGCTTCGTCACCGTGCAGCCATGATTTATTTGGAAAGTTTGTTGTGAAGAAAAGAATAGAAGTTGAAGGGAAGGGACTTAGCGCTAGCCTACCACAATCATGCTGAAGTGCCTACCCCTTCGGACACTCATGTAGGCAACCTGGTTAGAAACTGGCAACAAGAACGCCAATGACATCGATTAGCAGTCATATCTTATGGTGCCTACAACCATGCATCGTGGGGTCGCGCGGTGTCCATTCAGGATAATGAGTCCCGCAGACATTAACCAGGCTTTTCGTAATCTCTTTCACACACCTCTACTTGCGCCACTATGAATTGCTTGGACTAAGCAATTCCGCCTGAGTGTGTTAGCGCTTCTAACCGTCAGTGTTAACGATGAGTTGGTAGGTAGAAGTCTGTCTTCAGTGTGTGCAATATTTCACAGCTGTAGTTAACCAATTAGGACCGTCACTACTTAAATTGTCCTTTTGGAGCGGATTTCTAGCGGAAGCTCCGAGTAAAGCCTTTATCTAGGAGATTTGTAAACATGGCACGGAACAACCTCACCCTGGTTAGTAAATGGCACATGGAACAGATCACAGATATGGGGAAAAAGCAAGCTTTTTTGAGCGATTCAGTGAAAAAGTAATGTTAGCTAGTCATCAAAAGACCGTTGAAGCCGTTCAGTTTGCTCAATAATTAATGACAAGACAAGCCAACAGAAACAAAGTAGGAATATCAGCGAATATTCTCAATTGAGTGCCAATCGCAAATGTATTTACTCGATCCGATAAATCCAGAATCTATCCTAATATTTCGATTATCCCTTGTCCTTCTTCCACCAGAGAAACAGCTGACTACTGGAAACTCTATCCTGGTTTGCGACATCCGAAAGTGTGTTGATTGGTCATGTGCGGTGGTTTATTTAGATTTGATGAAAATCCTCCGAGTTTTGGAATGTTAAATCGCCTGTATTTCATCCAGGACGTCCTGACCGGTAACAAAATGTAGATGTGTAGAATCAAGGTCAATGTGCTTTATGCATCTCATCTAAATGCATACAACTTGCTACTGTCATCAGGAAGCAGCTCGGCCGTTCCGTGTTCAGTTCACACGTGACCCTCGCTGTGAGGTTGAGCCTAAATGTCAGTGAATGATAAACCGGTGTGTGAGGACACCTTACAAAGAACAGTAACAAAAAGAAAAGTGAATGAAAGGCGGTGGAATCCCGATTGAAGACTATGGCTGGTAGATCAATATCTGAGAAACGTGTCGGCTCCTCAAACTACGGTG